TAGTCCTAGAAATACTCAGAACACATGTTCTAATAGTGGTGGAGCCCATTTTATAGTCCTTTATTATGAACAATATATATTTTTAAGATATAATACATTCCAGTCAAAGAACCACCAAAATATTGCCAAAGATTGTGTAATTTTTTAAAAACAATGCTACAATAATTGGAAATCCAGAGACATATAGATATGAAAAATACTTAAGGTGAAAAATTTCCTGAATCCTGAAAAGAAAACAACAATCTCTGTTGTGCATACTTTGCTGAAGACTGAAAAACTCAAGCATTCCCTAATACCCACCTTTGTTCTAAAAATAAAGTCATCATGTTTTCCACCAATAAGCCAACAATATCCTTCTCGGCTAGTAGAAATTAGATCCAGTATGCCATAGTTACTAGTAACTTAAAATTAAACCATATGTCTTTGACATTGGGAGTCAATACAGAACAAGTAAGCATTAAACTCTGAAGAGTTAAGTACTGTCGCAAGTTTTTATATCAGCTTTAACACGGTGTCTGACTAAAGTAGAGAACTGTTTGTCCATCCAATATATTTATTGAACACTAGCCATATGCTATGAATGCAGAGCTTAATAAGTTAATTCATTCACATAAAAAACCTCACAGTTTGCTGGTAAAGAAAGATAAAGACATGCTGAAATAAGGATATTGAAAAGATGTTATGCAGTATAAAGTAATGGGTGACTAATTTTCCACGAAGATAAGTGAAATGAGAATATGGAGTATGTGTGTAGGGGGACAGGAGGGTAAAATCAGAGCGGCTCACAGAGTTTTGGCATTAGATAGGACATTAGACATCCTGCCAGACCTAATTTTAATCCTAGATTTCCCATTAAGTATCTAGAGATCTTGGAAATATTACTGAAACTTTTTAAAGCCCAGGTTCCTCATCTGTAAAATGCAGATAATATAATTTTTTTACAAATTTTTTACAAGAGCTAAATGATTTCATGAAGAGCATATGCTTGGAGCATAGCAAGTTTTCATAAATAATAGTTGTTAGTGTTGATTGCTATTAAGAATAAGTTGTCTCAGGAGACTAGGATACGAAAGAGACAATAACATGTGCATATGTTTTGCTAGAATATGAGGTGGTAAGTGAAGCTAGAAAGACAGTCAGAGGCCAGATGGTGAAAGCATTTTCATTCAGAGCTAAGGAGTTTGGATGTTTTAGTGGAGATGATGGAAAAATCATTGAAGGATTTTGATCACTGGGCTGACAGTGAGGAGGATGGATTGGAAAGAGAGAGTGTGTGTATAAATCAAAGTCAGAATGACCAGGTAAGAGGTATTATTAGTATCATTATTTCAAGGAAATGTATGAGGTGAACTGAAACATTGGCCATGGGGATGGAACAGACATTTAAAACAAAGATCTATATATATAAAAGCCTAAGTGACCATTACAACAGAACTACTGGAATGACCAGTCGCTATGCCATGCACTGATCACCAGGGGGCAGACTCTCAATGCAGGAGCTGCCCCCTGGTGGTAAGTGCACTCTCACAGCCAACCTCCTGCGGCCCCTCCCCCTGGCCAGCTGGCCCCCATTGGCCCCTGGTGCTAAACCAGTGGTCGGCAAACTGTGGCTTGTGAGCCACATGCGGCTCTTTGGCCCCTTGAGTGTGGCTCTTCCACAAAATACCACGTGCGAGTGTGCATGTACAGTGCGATTGAAACTTCGTGGCCCATGCGCACAAGTTGGTATTTTGTGGAAGAACCACACTCAAGGGGCCAAAGAGCAGCATGGGCCTCGCAAGCCGCAGTTTGCCGACCACTGTCAGCTAAACCATTTGTAGAGATCTGCTTCTGGGTTGGGGTTTCGTAGGTAGCAGAGCAGCTCCCTCGCTGCAGTCTATTGAAAGTCACCCCTGGACACAAGGGTTTGTCTCACTCCCATCCTCTCCATTTCCCAGGGGCCACCCACCTGCTGCAGTGGCGGCTTGGCGGTGAGGGAAGGAGGAAGTGGGGAGGCTGGGAACTGCGCCAGGGACTGTTGCCTCCTCTCCCAACCCCACTGGGGCCCTTGGGCCCGGGCTGGGATGGGGAACCGGGGGTGAGTGGTGGCAGATGCAGCCCCTTTCCCAGGGGGGCCGACGGCCAACCTCCTGCGGCCCCTACCCTGGATGGCAAACCTCCCGTGGTCCCTCCCCTTGCCCCTCTCCCCCTGTCAGCAGGCCCTGATCGCCCATGGTCCCTCTCCCCCTCCCCCCGGCCAGCCAACCTCCAGTGGTCTCTCCTCTCCCCCTCCCATACACGAATTCATGCACTGGGCTTCTAGTTTGAGATAAAAGTAAAAAGAGTTGTTAACTGATTGAAACATTTGAGAAACAAGAGTCTATTAAAACCATTGAACTGAGGAAGGGATTTTAATGATTACTTTTTTAAAAATATATTTTTATTGATTTCAGAGAGGAAGTGAGAGGGAGAGAGAGAGAAATATCAATGATGAGAGAGAATCATTGATTGGCTGCCTCCTGCATGCCCCCTAATGAAGATCGAGCCCACAACCCAGGCATGTGCCCTTGACTGGGATTGAGCCCGGGACCCTTTAGTCCAAAGGCCGATGCTCTATCCACTGAACCAAACCAGCTAGGGCAATGATTACTTGTTTTAAATGAGAGAGCTGTGTGCATGTTTATATGTCAAAGAGAATGTTGAATGAATGAATATATATAAAGGTTAAATTTTATATAGAAGCAAAGTAATACATTCACCGTAAGTTTCTTAATTTACGTGATGTGGTTTATTTATTAAATGAACGTTCTGGGTTTTATGCAAGGTTCTTTGGAGAATAAAAATATATCACAACCACATGTTGATTGATGTTATGAAGAAAAAGCAGGATGAGGCTAGATACTTATGAGGGTGGTGTTTTAGAAAGGATGGTTGTAGAAGGACTTTGAATTGAAATTTGAGCAGTAAACTAGGTGGATGGTAGAGGTCATTAATTTCCCTGTCAAAGTCTGGGGAACAGGTTTGTTGGGCTCGAATTGAAAATTTAGTTTTGACTAGGTTAAGTTTGAGATACCTATTAATATCCAGGTAGTATAGTCAAGTTGCATGTTTAAGTATTGATTTCATGAGTTTGTAGTTGAAGATAACATTTGAGAGTCTTCAGCATACACATGGCATTTAAAACAGTGAAAGTGAATGGGATATGGAGAATTCCCATATGGATGTTGGGGGAGATAGAGATGGAGGATCGAGCCCTGAAGTTAACAACTTTTAGAGATTGGGAAGATGAGGAGTGATCCAATAAAAGACACTAAGAAGAAATGGCCAATGACATAGGAGAAAAATGAACAAGAAAGAGGAATTCATGAACTGTATGAAATGCTAATGTGTGATCCAGCAAGTTGAAGTCAGTAACAGCATAGTTTTTGCTGATGGGAGAAGTCCAGTAGAGTGAGGAAAATAATTGCTGTGAAAGAGATGGGGGTGGAATTGCAGAACAAAGCTTTTGAATGGGCAACAAGGGATGCAATCCAGTGCTCAAAAAGGTTGGCCTTAGCTAAGAACACTGTCTTTTTAGCTAAACACAACTTCATGCACACTCACATATTTTCATTGTATGCTTCATGCACCCACTATTTTCAAAGCTTTCACTTTTACAGAATCATATTCATAAAGCTCTTTCCCTGGGATTTTAAGGAGAGTAGTCGGGAGGGCAATATTAATGATTCTTGTTTGCAATTCAGTGAGCCAATCTTTGTGGTCCACTGGAAGCTCTATGATGAAATAAATGGAGGGCATAGTTCATTGTTTTTCTGTAGCACAACACAATTGCCTTAGGTGTAGTAGGGGGTAGGAGATGCTGCGTTGTACACTCAACATTAGAAACCTCTCCAAAGTACTGAGCTAGCTTAGTCACTGTTACAGTTGCTCTTTTAAGTCTTTTTGAAGTGTCAAAGGTAGAATAACTACTTTGGGTTTTGAAGTGTTTTGTTGAGAAGGATCTTGATCATCTACCATGTATGAGAATCTACTTTATCTCAGTATTGTCTCTAGCATTTAGTACAGTGTGGCTTTGAGTAGCAAAGCAGTAAAGCCTGGTAGGGGCAAGGTTATCTTTTATATTGGGGTGGTCAAAAGTAGGTTTATAGTTGTTCATATGAAAAATAATACAATAATTAATAAATAATAATACAAGAATAACTCTGTGTTTCACGTACTCACAACCAGAATCCTTTTGCTCACCCCTGTACATTCCACCTTCATTGCAACAAGTAGGGTCCAATAAGTGGTGTGTGTGTGTGTGTGTGTGTGTGTGCACTAGAAACGGTGTGTAATCAATACTATGAATGCAAACAGCAGAAACAGACTGAGAGAGGGACCAATGGGAGAGGGGGTGGGAGGGGAAGAGTTAGAGACCACAGATATACTAATTTATTTTAAAAGCATTTTCTTCCTACTTCCCACTTCTTGGAGGCTAATGTATAATGGACTATAATCGTGGTTCGGTGTAGAGGACACCTGCTTCTGTGAGCCCTGCAAGTAGATACTCCTTGAGTCCTCCCTGACACTGACTCCTCCAATGTTCAGAAGGATCACCATGTTTCTGCATCTTTTTGGGGAATCCTCCCTGCACAAGGCTGCTTCGTAGACTTGAGAGGGCCTGCTGAGCATGTGTGAACAGTGCCGCGCATGCTCCGTGGAGTGGGCAGGTTTAGCCTGGCGCTAGC